GATGCCTCGCTTTACTGGGCGAAGATAATAAAGCAGTAGACATGGAAAATATATAATATTCGGTATATGACCTGGGAATGCTATAATTTTCCCTTGCTTTCTTATTTTGGGACATGGAAAAAAGGGTAGAAGAGGGTGCTATCCGTACCCTATCAGGAACCCAGTATTATGATCGTGATGTCTTAGCAGCCACACATACTCTTCTTAATCATACCGGCATAGTTTGCAATATATTCTTACCAGGTGGGGTCGTTAATGATGCCGATTTTTTTTGGGTGGTTACACAACAGACGAAGCTGTTGCTCTATGGTGCCCAGTGACCGTTGGAAGAGGCAGCCTGCTTCAAAAAAACATCGAAGACGGTTTCTTCCCTATGCTAGGTGAACCTTACTCCAAACTGTTCAATTTCACCATTTAGTTGCGCTTGGTCATACCTTGTATTGGAAAAATTCAACAGTAGCTGACCGACTGCGGTAATTCATTACATTTAGTCTACCTCCTCTGCCATACCCCCTTAAATAGCCTCTTCTCGGACCCTTGCTACGACCTCTTCGTCTAATTTGACAAATTTCACACCATTCTTGACTGTGGATCATGATAACTTGCTCGCTGTGCGTCACAAGTGCCTAATGCTTCAAATACGAGATAATCATAAGTTTCATACACCCAAAATTTAAAATCACTAATCTGTGGAATTTTTCAACTCTGAGATATATTTTAGATCTTTCTTTTTCTCAAATATTTCATTGTTCTGTATTTGCTTGTCATATCTAATGTAATTAATAATTCAAGTGAAATTTACTGAATAAAATATCATGTACATAATGGGCAAAATAGTGGAAATCCGGTGGGGTCGTTTACGACCTCAGCACTATTTTTTTGTTTCTAGAATAAAAATCATAAATGATACCAATGCTGCGAAAATTTCTCATGAAAGCTGATAAAAAATGTGACAAATTCAGTTTCATGGCAAAATAAGGTATAATAAAAATGTACACTAATAGATACGTGTTTAGGGTGGTAAACGACCCCACCCGGTATGAATAGGGTTGTTTAACTTTTTTCATTGAACGAATTGGCCTACGCTGTGCACTGTGTCATACAATAAGGTTGGTTACATGTTACCCTCTACCAAGGTTACAAATGGATTCTTCATTAGGTATTCACAGATATGTCTCTAGCTAATTCATGACAAGATTCTCTGCTGGAGAAAAGCGCGCATAATTAATTTGCAGCCCTGGCAGAGGGTAGCTCCTCCAGTAGACCCCGACCCCGGACTCCATACTGCCTGGGGGACAGGAATGCGGAAGTTCGAGGACCCAGTGATAACCGTGGGAGGTGGGAAAATGTTTTGATGAGAACGGTTCGTGACAAAATTACAAATTACATCTTAATGGTTGTATCAATATGTGTGGGTCGGTAACGCAAGGGGAGGCGGGTTTAATTCTCTTGTTCCATTCCATCATCTTCCCTCACATCCATGGCTGCCACAGGTAACACAACAATACTAACAAATGTAAGAACTATATATTCTTATTTCTTACCTGATCTATTCCAGACATTTTCCTTTAAAAATGAAAATTTGCCTGAATGTCACTTTTTCTTATGTAGTCGTTACCATAAAAGCAACTGTCTTAACACGGCTTGTGTCACTTTTTCCCTGTAGTGCCTCAACAAGCAGTCGATTTCTAGTGTCTGGTGTTGACTCGTCGGTTAGAAGAAATTATAACTTCTCTGTTGTATTTTCCGTCGGTTAGTAAAGCGATAACTGCAGCAGCACAGGTAGAACACCTTGCTCTGGCTGGAAGTCAATGTCAGCGGAGGACGCGGGCGAGTTACGGTCAGTGATTTTGTCTCTTTTTATAAGGCAATGTCAATACCCTCTGAGACTGAATTCGTACTCTATTATTGACTCTGAATGGGTTGCAGCGGGGAATAATAGACTACCTGACATTGGTATGACATTGTGAGCTAGGGGAAGGGGTCAATGCCCTCAATGAGAAATAACAACCTCAAAACGTGAGTTATTTTGACGTCAACAGACAGGCAGACAAGGACAATGTTATTTTTACGTAGCCATGTTGATTTTTACATGGAAACGAAACTAGACCAGCAAATTGTAGAGCTGACATTGACTTTAGAACACGGGGATTTTGGGGATCGTCCATTTTTATAATCATTTTCACAAATCTACAAACCGTAATCTGGGGGTTGGGGGACGGGGTGAATGCCCTCAGTACGCCTTTGGGAAAATAATAAAAATTATGATCTTCACCCCCGGGGATGTGCTGACAAAGGTAATCAATTTTAGTTTTTCGCTTTGAACTCTCTGAAAGGAGGGGGGGGGGGGTCCGCAAAAGATCTACTCTTTGTAGACTTGTGAGACTTTGTAGACTTATAAAGTTATAAATTATAACCATTATTAATGGTGTATATACACAACTATTTAACCCTCCGTTTACCAAACCAGTTCCCTCGCTAGATGATGTGATAGTAGATGAATTTTGCAGAAAATTCCATCCATTAACAAATGATTTATGAAAGAAATATAGAAAATATAAAGGCACTCTTGTGAATTTGCTCAGCTAATAATAATAAGCGTCAATCCAATGTCTTGGCTATACTAGCGTGAAGGTTGATGTTGTATCGGTATGGCTTTGTTATTTTAATAGTTTTGCTGTTCAAGGTTAACTCCTAGGCTAGTGGGATTCTTTGCCTAAGTTATACAGGTAAAAGTAACGACTGTAAGTTCCTGTTTGCTGTGATATATCATGTACTCACTGTGTTAACAAGTATTGTGACATTTCGCGTACTTTGTAACTGTAATGCGATCTTAATTCACTGTATTGTATAGAATATTATAATTTATTGTGTACATGTACTGTGCAAGATTTGCAACAATTCAGGTACTGCGAGTTTATGTGTACTGAGACGTTAATTATTTTATGGCTCTTCGATTGCGATAAAAAGACTCAATTTTTNCTATTGAATACCCCTGGGTATAATTGCTGGACGTGTCTCACGGTGAACGCTTTTACTGGATTGAACGGTGTATGTGTAACTCTCGTCCAGTTGACTTGTTGCCAGATGTACATCTTTGTTGTTTTCTTTTTATCAGGGAATGATAAATAATAAATAAACTATTACCACTGGGTATCCGCTGGGGCATTAACTTCATCGTTTTTTTCAACCATACACGTACAATGGCTCTTACAGTATACTAGCACCAATCACTAATCAAGATTTTGCCGCAACCTCGCGTCTTGGCTATTCCATATCAGTCACACATTCCTGCACATCACGTTTTATGTCGACGTCCGAATGAATACGAACTCCAAATTTTCTTCAACACCTTCATACAAATTTGCAACACATAGATCACAATGACGGCACTATCGTAGGTTGGTATCCTGTGCAGAAGGATACATCATTCTGTGGGGCGGTTAAAGTTCCATCCTTCTCTGTTCATTCATTTCACAATTTAATGCTGTTTTTCTAATTTCTCGATTTTATTTTTCATTTTTATTATAATACGTTCAACATAATCAATTTTCGTTAATAATGGAAATGTCTGTTTACCGGATAGCATGTATGATAGATATATTAAATGAGAAAAAGGAAAGAAAGAAAGAAAGAAAACGGTACAAGGACTTGGATCCCTTCCGTATCTTCATGTCGTATAATCAGAGGATAATTGAACAGATTGAATACATTTTATTACTCGATTTCGAATGAATAACGTGGTTTATTTACAAGTTGTAGTATCCCATGTCGAGGACAGTAGGAGGGCGTGGCTTGATTTGTCCTAGCTTAACACGGTTAGCTTGTTAGTTGTTTCTGGGCACCGATTTGGAAATTTGATGATAGCTCGCGATTGGGAAGCAAAGATAGTGTATTAAGATATAGCTTATTCCGCTTTGTAATGTATTGCTCACTAACGAAGTAGAATTAACAACAATTTATTTCATTGTTATTAATGTTGTTTAATCAAAATTAGGGATTCAGTTGATTCACTTCCGATTTACTGCTGCTTGCACACCTTTGCGTTGGATAAGTCTATCGTGATATATTGTCCCATAGATTCAACTATTTACAGTTGAACATATGGGCCTGTACGTGTAGACATCCACGACGTTATTCGATACAACGATAATATATCTGTATTGAAAGGTATGTGAACGTGAGTTTTGTTTACCAATTTATCTTATCAATGATCATGGGTATTTTTATCCTCATTTTTATTGAAAAAACTTATAACAGGCATGTTTAAACATAGGAAAATACTCATCTACAGCAAGTGTCTTTCATATCTAAACTGCGGGTTGGTTAGATCCTGACTTAGTACCGTTGAATTATTTGCAAACATCCATTGCACGAATAATTCGATTACACCCATTGTGGCGTGTGGTGGTGAAATGAATTGCTAACGCAACAAAACATAAAGACCAGCTCTATCCTCGCTTATTTTCAATGTACTACAGATATCAGTTATTAACCTCGGATTAACATGTTTACATAACAGCTGCCCATAATCCATACGTCCTTAAAATAAATTACATCAGTTTGAGGTTAAACAGGGTGAAAAACGGGTAAAGCTCCTGCTTTACAAAGTACAGCTCCCCTGATCATGAATTATCAGGTCATCATCTTATTCGCCCGAGCTAAATAACGAGGAAACAACATTTTGTCACATTCGATGCAGTGAGGCCTTCCCTTACTTCCACTAGATATACACTCTTGCCCAAAATGGTTGGTACACGGAAATTTTGCCCTGTTTCTTTCATTATTATTGATATTATCAAAATTAATACTGTTTATATTGTTAAATATGTGAAGCTGGAGGATTGGTAAAGTCAAGGAGAAACACCCCAGTGCAAAAGTGAAAAAAGCGTTAATTTAATTAGGTTTTTTTGTTCATGCCCCCAAGAAGTGTACTTTTTTTACATAACAATACCAAGAGAAAAATTAAACATAAATTTATACTGTGATTGACAATTAATATGAAATTAGGGGACATTGTCAAGAAACATCGTTAGAGTTCATTATTAATCTAAATTGCGGGTATGCCCACCCCGAGCTTGGATAATGGCCGCCAGACGGCGTGGCATACTGTGAACTAGAGTTACAGCTCTTTGGAGAGGAATTCTGGTCCATTCATCTTGAAGGGCATCTCGCAGTTCATCTAGATTTGCAGGGGGAGGGGTTCTCCTCTGAATAGCACGACCAAGTTCGTCCCACATGTGCTCAATTGGGTTTGCATCTGGGCTTTTTTCACATTTGCATTGGTTGTTTCTCCTTGACTTTACCAATCCTCCAGCTTCACATACTTAACAGTATAAACAATATTAATTTGGTAATATCAATAATAATGAAAGAAACAGGGCGATATGCATCCCAAAATTTCCGTGTACCAACCATTTTGGGCAAGAGTGTAGGCCTACTATGGGGTTGACCTGCGTCATATAGATACTTCTAGGGGCTCTTATCTGACTGAGGGAGATCCAGTTAACAGTTCTTGGTAACCTGTNAAATAATCAAAAAAGTGTTAAAAGTAAAAGTGACAGTTGTTTTGTGTCTTTAGTGAACTAGTGAATTTTCTTAACTTGTTATTCAGAAATACATTCCAATAAACTGAATTCCTTGCAAGGTCAGCTAACACTAGGATGAATAAGTTGCTGTAAATGTGATGGAGTGAATTAATAATGTTAACAGTTCTTGGTAACCTGTTATACATAGAGATGTTGAGGTGACTGTGACTTTGTTACATATATATATATATACTTTTATACCCTACCCTCAGGTCATTTCAATGTCTTTTCATGCAAGAATGTTGTCTAACAACTGGGGTTGATACAATGTTGTTATCTGACGTTGATACAACGTTGTTATCTGAGGTTGAGTCAACTTTCAAATCCAATGTTTATCCAACGTCTTATCAACATTATGGTTCAACGTTGTTTCAACGTTAAAACAACATATTTTGCCCGCTGGGAATAAGAGCCATAGAGAAATAATGTTGCTGCACAGCTTTGACTAGCACAAATGTATGCCACTGTGTTGTACAGTCACTGAATCTAAGGACAAAATTTCCACTTAAGAGACCCAATGAGGTACCTTAAAGTTAAGGAGATATTTGGGGAAATTCTCATCTTAAGATGCTTTATGCATACCACTTATATTAAGGATGATCACTTATGGAAATTCTTAGGGAAATTCTTTAAAAAATACACTTAAGATGTTTTGTGCATACGGGGCCAGGTTCGGCCTTGGACATAATTCCTTTTTATGTCCAAGGTTCGTCTCACGATTCCCGACTTCAGTGATTCTCGGATGTCCAGTACAAATTTGGTAAAGAATAAAAATCACAAACAAGCTCAGGTGCTATTCGACGGCAAACACGTTTATATTGTTACGATCGTCAAGTTCTGGCGGTTAGTTGGTGTGTATCACAAGTGATTTTTTCGATCTCGGTAGACTGCTTGGATCATTCCTTACTGTAACAGCTGAGAATTAAATTTCATGACGCAGTATAGTGTTTTATTCATTCTCGTATTAAATTTTTTGTTCCCCTCCCAATCTGTTTAGCAAAATCCTGTAGCAACCAGTGTACTATAGGTTTATACCCCGAGTTAAATTTATTACACTGATAAAACATGATGCGTAATTGACAATGCCAAAAAAAAAAACGCCACTTCAAAGCTAAAATAGCCAGTTTTATTACAAAACTATGAGAATCAAATAAAATCTGTAGGCCTGTTGGAAGTTAAATCAGACATAACACCCAAACCAATAATATAGAGGAGTAAATGTTGTCACAGGCATGCACTTAAAATATTCAGTGCACAGATTAGAAACTATGTTTGATAATTTAAGGGTACCACATGAA